GAGAAAATACCATCTCTACAACCAGAAGTTAATTTTCACAGCGACTGTAAGATTTATAGTATTCCTCTACAACTTCATCACAAAACCAGTAATCATCTTCACATAATAAAAGCTAAATATTTGTAGAGAAGTAGCTGTGCTGAAGGACAATGAACAGAAGGATACATATAGTTTAGAGCCTTTGAGCTACTCCTTTATTTAATTTTTTTCTGATGAATAGAAACTGAGGAGGAATCGTTCACTCACGTTTCCTCACAGTGACTAACACAATGCATTCTCACAGAACATTTCTCATTCCAATCACCCCACCTCCAAGGGTAGCCACACCCCAAGCACAATGAACTGCAAGAGCAAACTGAACTCTTCGTCTTGAACTGAGATCCGAGCATCACACTGCTGGACAGCTCCCAGCCAGTACTGCGCTGGCAGCTGGGCCTCAGTACCCACCATTGCACGGATCTCTAGTAGCCCCTGTAAGAATTCAGAGTCAAGAACGAATAGGAAGGGACAGGGAGAACAGAAACAGAGAAACGCTGTCCCAGCTCCACCACGCACAGCGTACGGGGCTGAAGCCGGCAGCCTGCGGGGTTTGGTGCCCAGCCGTGGGGACGCGCTGGCACCTGCACGGCTCAAGCGGGTATTTCCGATGCAGCCTAAAGAAACACCCAGATCACGTCACACCTTCAGCGCATCCCTCCCTGGCACAGGTGCACGCAAGCAGGCGACAGGGAGGTAAGGATACACCTCCCGTGGCACGGAGGGTCTGCGTGGCGTCAGAGGCTTGCGCTGCTCCAGCCGCCTCTCCCACCACCTCCCGCCCGGAGCGAGCAGGCCTGACGGGCTGTCAGAAGGAGAAGCCGTGGCTCTCCTCCACAGGCCACGACTCCGATCTGTTTGTTCTCATCACTCGCAGTAGGCGATTCAGCAACGTTACGTTCGAAGCCTCCGACTGACGGAGGAGGCTAAAAAATGCGATCACATGCGATGTTTGGCGGGGACGAGGGGGTGAGGGAAAAGGTTCAAAAGAGGCTGTGGGGATCTGGTTTCCAAACATGGCACCTACCCACACCCCGCGTTCCCCGCACCCCTCCCCGTGCCGCTGGCAGCGGGATAAACCCACTCCCCCGCCGTCCCGCCACCTCGCACGCACGCACGGCCGCCCGCTGGAATGAGCAGGGCGACTAATTCCATGTATTTCCTAATTACGAACGCCCCGCTGCCCCACGGCCGCTGCCGCCCGCCCTGCAGCCGGCGGCACGGGCGGCGCGGGCCGGGGGCGTGCCGGGCGGGGGCAGCCGCCCCAGCCCCGCGGCGGGGCCGAGCCAGGCGGGGGCAGCACGGCGGCACGGAGGCTCCGCACGGAGGGAAACCCCACCCAGCGGCCCCTCCTGGCAGAGGCGGGGTTTTGGGGACCCCAAAGGAATCCCTCCTCGCCCCTCGCCCCCGTGTCGGGGTTGCCGCCCGCCCTGTGCCGCCGGCTCCCGCGGGGCGGGGAGGGCCGCCGTCCCGCCATGCCGGGCTCCCCCAGCGGCGCCGGCTCGGGAGGAGCTGCCCGGGGTGGGGGAGGAGGAAGTTACGGGCCGGGAACGGAGCGGGACCGGGGCTCCGCGGCGCCAGCCCCGCCGAGCAGGGCGAACCGGCCGGCTCGGGGCACCGGCCGGCTCCTGCTGTGGCAGCGCCCGCTCCGCCCGCCGGCGATCGGTGCATGAATGAGTGTCTGAATGAATGAATGACTAGCGTCTGCTTACTTGAGCATGGCCTCTTCTTTTTCTTCCTCCTCTTTCTGCCGGTCCATCACTGCCATGATGATGTTCCTCTCCTCCTCTGTCAGGTGGCTCAGGTCGGGCAGCTCCTGCATCGGGGGAGGCACCGTGGGCGGGCGAGGGCCGCGGGGCCCCACCGAAGAAGACATTTTCCTTCTGCCTCTCCCTTACACCTTCTACCTTTGCACGGCGAACCCAGCCAGCCTCTCCTCCGCCCCCTTCACAGGGTAGTCCTCCGAGCAGCGGCAGCCGGCAGCTCTCTGGCAGCAGCGGAGGAGGCGGAGACCCAGCCTTTCATGGTTGCTTGCATCCACCCCGGCCCGGTGCTGCCGCTGCTCGCTCCCTTTGTTTCCGCGGCTTCGGGGAGCTCAGGGGCTGCCGCGCCGCCGCCCGCAGCCCATCCTCCCGGCGGTGGGCGTGCGGGGCGGGGGTGCGGTGGCGCGGAGGGCTCCGGATCGCCGCCGGCGGGCTGCGTGCGGGAGCGGGGGGGCGGTGCGCGCCGCCGGCCGGCCGGGAAGGGCGGGTGCTGCCGCCGCCGCCGCGATGCTCCGCCGCTGCGAGCCTGGCGCTGGAGGAGGGAGCGAACGAGCGAGGGAGGGAGGGGAGCTCGGTGCCGGTGAGGCGGAGTCCGAGGCGCGGCGCCGCTGCCCCTGCCCCTGTCCGCTGGGCACCCGGGCCGGCCGCGCCTCTCGCTCCCCGCCGCTCCCCGGGCTCGCCCGGCGGACGCACGGCCGCGGCGCTGGCCCCGGCACCGCCGCCCTCCTCACGTCCTCCTCCGGGTTTCCTCACCGCAGGTGCTTGCCCGGGTTCCCGGCAGGGCTGCAGGCTCGCCCGAGGCAGGGCCACCCGTGGGAGGGTGCGGGTTTGCTGCGGGGCCGGCTGGGGCGCCGGGAAGCCTTGGGCTCCCAGTGCTGCCGACACTCCCTCGGGAGTGAGCCGTGCTCGCCCCAGCTGCAGCCCCCTTGCCTTAAGCCAGCGCTGTCACCGCTCGACCGTCCCTTCCTTAGGAGTCCCACGCTTCAGCACTTAATACGCTTCTTAAACCCCGTTAGTGCTACCCATGCCACGGTCCACACACCTCCCACGCCGCTGACAAGTGCTCTTTTCAATCAGACTCATTTTTTTACTGTGACCCACTAAAACTGTAAACGAAATACGTTACAGTGCCGACTGCTCAACTGAGGGGGTCAGTGCACAGTGAAATAAAACGTCATGTCCAGACAGAGATCGCTTCCCTGCCAATTCCTGGTCTACTAGCTCTGAATAACTTCATTTTGAGGAGCCGGTAATGAATGCAGCACCTTTTCTCTACAGATCATCTGCATATAACCCACTGGCCAAAAGCTCATGCCTCTAGCTCTAAAGACTCCTCTGCTCACACATGTGCCTGACAGTGAATGAAATAATTCAGGCTACTTAGAAATGCAAAGTTAAAATACAGAGAAAACTGCACTTTCAGGTAAAATGTGAGCTATTACTAACAGACGCTGATACTTAAAACCTCTCAGCCGTGCTTCTGCAGAGGTCACAGCATGGAAACAGCTCTAGTTTCTAGAGAGATCATCTGATGAGCACAAACCAAAGGGAAAAAAAATCTATGCTGGCAGTGTTCAATACTTCTTTCTGCCAAATTTGCCAGGTTTGGAACAGGGAGAGGCACCAGATTTCTCCTAGCCACACTAATACCTCTCACACAAATTCTGAAAGCCATGAACCTTTGTGACCCTTTGAATTTGAGAGGAATTACTGTGGCCAGCTGCCTGTGTCCCCCCAAGAGATTTTCTGCAGGGCACAATTTTGATAACACAAATTATAAAGAAAAAACATAATAAGGACTATGGTTACCACCAGAACTTTTGTGGAATAATGTCCAAGTTCAGTTCAGAAACTGAAGTTTTCCAGCATATGAAGGAAACAGAAACTTGAATGACCAACAGATGGCTCAGAAGAGATTACAGTGGTGTTAATAAGCAAAGCACTATGAAAGGCTGGTAAATATAATAATGTCACATTCAGTTTAAGACACAAACCCTCTACTAACTCGTGTGGTGATTTGTCCCAGGGCCTGACCACATTATTACTACTAGATGTAATCCTTCTAGCTAAGTACTAACAAATCAATAAAATCACTTCCCACCATCTGTGACCAGCAGGGAAGATAGCCTTCATGTAACAGGCTGGTGCTGAAAAATTTATCCATTTATTAACAACAGGCAGCCACTTCAAGGGAGCAATGGAAGCTTCCACTAAAGGAAGCAAGACTGAAAAAAATAAGATGATGAGAAGAAGGTGAGCAACCACCATATGTTCAGTATCAGAAATAACTAGACAATGATCATGTTGTTATAGGTATACATAGGTATACTCAATCCTTCAGATAATACTCAATCCTTCAAATAACTTGGGAGGGTCCTGCATGTGCCAAGTAAAGGACGTAGCTCAAGTAACTGCATTCACTAGAGCAGTGGCCTTAGTGTTCAAGAATCACAGCCTTAAGCACAACTAACCAAAATATAAAAGGTCTAAGACCATAAGATACAAGTGTCTCCAAGATAATTTTATGAAGAAAATATTACATGAGGTTAAGTTATCCTACTCACCTTTCTGCTTATTAATTACTGACACAGTTATTTATATCTCTTTTGTATTTGTGTTAATTGCTTTATACTGGGTCAAGCACGTGAAATCCTAATGCTTTGTGGAAAATACAAAATGAATACAAAGAGTATAGGTTCTTATATATAGTTTCTTATAACTTAAAAGGGAAACCTGAAAACTCTTGCAGAATACAGGTTTCTAAAGTTATGGGAGTTGGAGTGCAGACTTGCTCCAAGCCAATATTGTGACTAAAACTGTTTTGCTGAGAAGAACATAATCACAGAAACTTTCAAATTGGAAGGCACCACTGGATGACATCTGGTCCAGCCAACCTGGTCAAGCAGGGTCAGCTAGAGCAGGTTGCTAAGGACCACATCCAGATGGCCTTGAGTCTCCCCAAGGATGGGAACTCCACAGCCTCTCTGGGTTACCTGTGCCAGTGCTCAGTCACCTGCATAGTAAAAAAAATGTTTTCTTGTGTTCAGACAAGACCCCCTGTATTTCAGTTTCTGCCCATTGTCACTTGCTCTATCACTGGGCACCACTGAAAAGAGCCTGACGCAGTCTCGCTTACACCCTCCCATCAGATATTTACTTACATCTATAACATGCCTCTGTTACAAAAAACCTTCCATTCTCTAGGCTAACTAGTTCCATCTCTCAGCTTTTCCTTATATGACATGCTCCAATTCCTAAACTATCTTCCTTACCCTTCACTTGACTAGCTGTTCCATGTCCATGTCTTTCTTGTGCCGGGGAGCGATAAACTAGAATTGTCACTCCAGATGTGGCTTTAACAGTGTTGAGCAGATGGGAAGGTTCACCTCTCTTAGGCTTTTGGCACTGTTTTTCCTTACGTCTAAAAAGTCCTAGACACAGCAAATGATTTTGTATTATTTTGGCACAAAAGCAGTAGAATTTATTAGACAGAAATAAAGAAGAAACCATAAAAGTAATCTCATTTTTTGATAGGTCTGCATGAAGAGACTGAGCTCTTATTGACAGTATTTTCAACTTTTAGTGGTCATTTTCTGATTTGAACACATTTGTTCTGTAATGATGAAACATCTGACACTGTTATCCAATCAACAGTGTGTGGAAAGCCCAGTGTAGTTCAATATATTATATCCCAGTGTAGTTCAATATATTATATCCCAAAGTTGGAATGATACATGAGAGAGAATTTCATAGCCTGGTTAGTACGAGTTACCCTTGCCCAGAAACATCCAAAGTCTTGCCACTGACAGGCATTCTATTAAATAAATTTTTCTGAAGTCCTGTCTAGAGCAGACTGCTTGGAAATCTAGAAATGGAATATCAATATAACTATTGTAATGTATCAGGTAAATTACTTTCCTAAACTTGAAAAACCAATCATTATAATGGAATCCATGACCTTTTTTTCTCAATTCATAACAACAAATGTTCACTTGTTGTCATGCACAGGGCATCATAACACATGCCTTATGCATGACAAATGTATATTTCTTTATGATTCTAGACCTCCCCTCAGTCTTAAGAACCTTCCTTCTCCCCCATATCTTCCTTTTGAATTGACCAAATGCCACATTCTAAATTTCTCAATTCCATCAATAGTCCCTTTTCACTAGCTGTAAGCAATCATGATTGTTTTCTTGCATGAGGCAAACTAAAAGAAGAATCAAACTATTCAGAGGGTTTTCCTGTAGGTTCCTTCTCTAGAAGAGTGGTTCTCTTTCTCAGACTGATGGAAGACTGGGGATGTGAAAGCTGTGGAGGAGTTTTCAGTCTCAGTGGGCTTTCCATTTAAGGGACAGCCATGAAAGATTAAGTAACCTGTAGTACCAAGGGATCAAAGTAATTTCTCACAATATGTTAATCAAAGTGGAACATTGTGACCTCTCTCTCTCTCAAGAAGTAGAAGGATTTTAAAAATTCCAAAGACTGACCAAATCCAAAGTAAAATATGTTTTATCAACATATCATAATTTTCAAGAGCAGGCATTTTTTGGCATCTGACTCATGACTTTTCATTTCTTCAAGTTTGGTGGCACCACAGTACTTTAAGAAAGAGAAAAGGGTCAGAGCTAGCCTTCCCATGAGAAAAAATGGAAACAGTCCTTTCCACGGCAGATAGAAAACACCAGCCAAAAGGAATTTCATTTCAGGTAGGAATTTCAGGGCCTGTTCTTGGCAATGTCTGGTATTATCCATAATTTTATGAGTGTCAATATTCTGCTATGAACATTTTAAAAATCATCTCAGGCAGAAGTCTTGCACTTTTAAAAAAATATATTTTATTTAGAACAAACAAACAAAAATCCAAACAAACAAACAAGCAAAAAATGCGCCAACCTCTAAATGACAAGTAGTTCCATTGACAGCAAACCTTATAGAGCATGCTTTTTGATAACAGCTTTGGATTCTCTTGTGTCAAATAATGCAGCTGAATTCACACTTCTACCTGTTCTTTACTGGGCACACAAATCTGAGTCTCCCCTACCTGGCTGCTGATTTTTGTAAAATTTGCAGGAGGTCAGTGTTCTTAAACTTCTCCTTTTATGTCAGGCTTTTTTCAAATTGGTCAAGAGATTTAAATGTTATTGTGGCATACTGACAGAAAAGCAGTGTGATTGCATAGCTTGGTTTCCTTAAGAGAATATCCTAGAGACCCTGTCCCACCCCCACGGGTCTCTAATTATTCCCTTTGCTCTTCTCAATGCTCTCTGTTTAGCTGTGTATTTTTGGCATGACAGTTTCCAGAAAATCATCCCATGCTTCAGGTGCAGCTTGCCAAAAATGCATAAACAGGAACTGTCACCTTCCTCCTCCCCAACATGATGGTTCTGTATGTGCAGCTTCAAATCAGACCCTTTTAGTGCATTTGCAA